CCATTTTGTTAAATAATCCATAGCAACAATAATATATCTGTTGCCTTGTTTCGTCATTGGTAAAGGTCCTTTTATATCTATTCCAACTCTATGGAATGGATATTTTACTTGAAGAGGTTGGAGGTCTTGTCTTCTAACTTCATGTCCTCTTCGTTGGCAGATATCACAAGTTTGTATATAATTTTTAATATCTTCATATATTGAAGGCCAATAATATCTTTCTTTAATTTTGTTATAAGTAGCATTAATTCCTAAATGTACTCCTTGTTCATCATGTAAGGTATATAATATTAAATGTTTTTGGCTACTTTTGATTACTCTTTGGGGCTTATCTTTGTTTCGTCTGAATAATTTTTCATTTTGTATTAAATAATTTTTAGATTCTTTTTGAATTCGAGATTTTTCCGCATTAGAGATGTCCAAGTCAAATTGTAGAGAGGAGAGGTATTTGTATAGCTGATTATATAGTTTGTCATCCATGATCTTGATAATATTCTGGAAGGCGTGAGAAGAAATCAGCATTTTTATTCCGGCTACCAGCTCGATATTTAATATCAAACTGATATTCTTGTAGGGTTAATCTCCATCGTGTTATCCTTTTATTTTCATTAATTGTAGGTGAGTTTAATAACTATTGTAATGCCTTATAATCTGTGATAAGAGTGAATCTCGATCCATAAATATAATGACAAAAGTATTTTATTGCCCATATAGCTGCTAAACATTCCAGTTCAACAGTGCTATAATTATATTCTGCTGGTGCTAAAGTTCTACTGGCATAAGCAATTACATGCTCTTTATCATTTTTGATTTGAGAAAGAACTGCATCAAGTCCTTGATATGAAGCATCGGTAAATAATATAAAAGGTTCAGAGTAATCAGGGTATTGTAATATGAGAGAGGAGGTAAGACATTGTTTTAGCCAATTAAATATTTCTTCTTGTTGTAACCCCCATTTAAAGTCTTCATCCTTTTTCAATAATTTTAATAAAGGTCCAGCCTTTTTAGAAAATCCTTCAATAAATCTTCTATAATAGGATGCTAGTCCTAAAAATGCTTGTAGTTGTGTGATGTTTTTAGGTGGAGGAAGTTTATCAAGTTTATCTACTTTTTGAGGATCTGGTTTAATTCCATTAATTCCCACTATATGGCCAAGAAATTGCATTTCATTTGTACAGAAATGACATTTTTCGGGGTTGATTCTTAGATTGGCATTTTTAATAAGATTGAATACTTCCTGGATATCTTGTAAATGTTGTTCAAATGATCCAGAATATATATTCACATCATCAATATACACCATGGCCTTTTTCCAGAGAACAGGCTTAAGAACAATATCCATAAGCCTTTGAAAAGTTGATGGTGCATTACAGAGTCCAAAGGGCATAACATTGAACTCATATAACCCATATTTTGTGATGAATGCTGTTTTTTCTCGGTCTTCTTCTTTAACTTCTACTTGCCAATAACCAGAAGTTAAATCTAGGGATGTGAACCATTGAACATTTCCTAGATTATCAAGCATTTCATCAATGCAGGGGAGAAGGTAAGTGTTCTTTTTAGTAACCATGTTTAACTTTCTAAAATCAACACAAAATCATAGTTTTTCATTTTTCTTTTTAACCAAAACTATAGGAGAACTCCAAGGGCTGTTTGATTTTCTAATAATACCATCTTTTTCTATAATCTCTATTTCTTTTTGGATATGATCTTGTTCTATTGGTGAGGCTTTATAAGCTTTTTGTTTAAGGGTAGGGTGTTCGTAGATCATTTTTCATATGATCTACATATCAAATTAACATTTACATAGAAAATCATGTGATTAACCAATCAAAATTGTCACAACAATAGATTCAACCAATCAGAATTAGTTATTTTTGTGCAACCTAAGAAAATTCGTAGGCACCTAAGATTTTTTATCAATATACAAAGTTGAATTTTTTTAAAAAATATAGTATTCATAATTTTACTGCTATAAATAAGAGGTCCCAAATTAAATGCTGCAAAAATTTGGTGAATATTAGTCACAATTCTAAAAAGTTTTATTAGAAACGAATTTTGAAATCTATATAAAATTTTAATTTGTCACATAGATTATATGAAAAATGATCTATAGACACCCTACCCTTAATAGGATTAGAATTATCAGTATTAATTCTATAGTATACTACATTTGTTTTCTTTAATTCAGAGAATTTTGTTACAAAAATTTCTGAATTTTGTTTTAACAATTTAGTAACTTGTTGCTGTTGTTGTTGATTTAGATTATGTCCAATATAGGTTGACTTGTCTTCTGTAATTTGTATAGAATGTCCTTTTTGATCTTGTTTTTGTTTTTCTTTTACAATTTCTTTTATTTCAGATTAGATTAATTTAAATGCTTCATCAAAGGGTGTGGTGACTTAGTGAAGTTGGTAAGTTGTTACCCCTCCAAATGGCAGGTCTAGAGTTCAAATCCCACTGGCAATGATTTTGAAAAATAAGATTTGTTTCAGTAATATTTATTCAACGATCGGTTGGGTATACTACCTGTAACCTTGGTATCACCATCTTGAATGGGAGCTTTCAGGTGAAGTTGTATGACATCACACAGACAAAGCCAAGGAACCAGAATAATTGAAACCCATTTGGAAAGACCCGAGCAAGGAAGTAGTGAAGATCTTCGATGATACTGCAGAAGCCGGAAGCCCGGAAACCAGAGACTGAAGAACCGGACGAATAACTCTGAGGCAAGAAGGGTTTACCAACCTGGCTGCTGGAGTCGCACCAGAGGAAAAGGTCCTATGCTGCGGAAATAGGAACCAAAGGAAGGGAACCATCAGACACTTAAAAGTCTAGGTATACCAACCTATCCGGGCTAACTGGTTTGGAAGTTTGGGAGAGATCGGTATAAGGACCGGAAGGAAGGTAGATGTAGGTATCGAGATTGGAATGAACCTTGTAAGGGCAGGGAAACTAGGAATTGTGCAGTTTAATGGTTAGCTCTGACCGCTAGTGTTGGTCTCGGCCATAGCAGACAGGTTCTCTGAACCTAATTTAGAAATGTGTAGGACATAGAAGAATTAGGGAGGCAGCCACTACCCCACCTGTGGGGACCCTAGGAAAACCAGCGGAGTAACCAAATTCAGGTAAGTGAGTGGGGGGCACTTCGGTATAAAGGTACCTGGCTTAGAATAATTGGTGGGTATGTACGATCAGAGGATTTAAATAGATAAATCTCTAGTCGTATTGTAGGCATGGCATCTAGTGTAGAACCTTTGGGCGGACTACTTAAATAGGCAACCAAAAGTTGTACGTGTGGCTAGTTGTACTCTCGTTGTAATACTAAATGTAAGACCCATGTGGTCAACAATTAAACATCAATAAAGCTCGGTCCCGAAGGACACTTTATAAAAAAAAAAAAAAAAAAAATGCTTCATCAATATTATTGTTTCAAGAGTCATAGATATTTTCAACTCGCACATTTGCTATTAATTGTTGATTAGTTTGGGCAAATATTTCTCCAACTTGTACTCTTGTAGAATAACTTGGTTCTATAGGTATATCATATTCCTCTTCAAGTTCTAATTCTAATTCCTAATTAGAATATAGATCTTTAAATTTGATGGGATAAGTGATATTTGGATCTGCTATCCGTTGTTTACAGGTAATAAGAATATATTCTGTTTGATCATTAATGCCTATACTCATATGTTCAGCATAATAATCAATAATGGCATGAACTTGATCTAAATATTCATTGCCTAATACTACATTATATTCTTTAGATTCAGTTACTAACATATCTATTAGCATTGTTTTGCTTCCTATTCGAACAGGTATATTTTGAACTCTTCCTGTTGGTATTGATTTATTTCCTATTATATCTACTACTTTAACATTGCTGGGTCTGTCAATTGTTCTATTAGCTCTTTCAAGGAAGTGTTTAGCAATTACACATCCTTTGGATCCAGTATCAACTAAGACATTTACTTCAATTCCTAGGACTTCAGCTGTAGCAAAGAGAGCATCCTTAACTTGGTTTTCTGGATTTTCTTCATTATTATAAACTTCACTTGAGTTCAACCCAAGTATTTCTATTATTTCTGCTTCTTCTTGATTCAACCAGGAATCATCATTAGTTTCTAAATTATTATCTTTGTTTAAAAGTTCATCTATTTCATCCAAGAACATGTCATACAAGTTTTCTTCTTCTTTGTTTGATGAGGGGTTTAATTTATTGACATGCTCACCCTCTGGAGATGTCACAATTAGTTTAAAAAGTTGCGTTGTCCAACACTATTTTCAGTGTTGTTTTGGGTTTGGATGTTATTTTCATAATAATTTAGGAAGTTTTGATGCTGTTCATTAGTGTTGTTATTGTTATTTCGATTGTAAGATTATTATTATAATTGTTATTATTATTGTTGTTTTTATTTTGGTTATTATTATTGTTAGGATTATTGTTATAGTTGTTAGGATTATTATTGTTATAATTGTTAGGGTTATTATTGTTATAATTGTTAGGATTATTATTATAATTGTTGTTGTTGTGATTATTATTGTTATAGTTATTGTTTTGTCAGTTATTATTGTTATGATTATTGTTAAATCTATTTTGGTTTTGAGGTTTGAAATTATTATTATTGAGTCTTCAGTTTTGATTTATTTGGCAATTTCTAGTACTATATCTGAATTGTTAGCAGTTTATACAGAAAGGAGCAGTACAATTAGAAGCAAAATATCCTGACTATTTGCATTTAAAACATAAATTATTTTGTTAGTGAGGAGGTTGATAGTTATTATTTCTGTTATTGTTATTGTTTTGATAACTATGTTGTGATGAATTTTGATTTCTATTTTGGTTTTGGTTTTGAACAGCTTCTATAAGATCTGTATAAAGGCTATTTTGATTTGTTTGTGGTTATATGACTTGAGAAGTATTATATCTTGCAAAAAATTGTGATTGATAGATAGTTGGTAATAAGGAGTAGGCTGATAGAGTTCCACCTTTTGAGTAAGCTACTTCAATAGCCTTGGCTTTATTAACTGCTTGTTCCAATATTGTAGGACTTTTAGCTTGAACTGGGATTTGAAATTCTTGTCTAAGACCATCAATGAATTGTCTCATTTTATCTACTTCAGGGTAAAGGTCATCCAGATCTATTCTTTGCCATAATTTATCTAAGGCTGCATTGTAAGAATTCACAGTTTCACCAGTTTTTGTTTTCTACTTCTTAAGGTATAATACTATTGAGAAACTTTAAAAGGATCTCTAAACTTTTTGGCAAATAGGTGGACAAAAGATTTATCTAGGTCAAGTTGGCTATCTTAATAGTTAAAATTATTATAATTAGTATTATACCAAAAGAGAATATTCCCTCTAAGAAAGTTTAGAACAATTGCTATTCTTCTGTTAGGAGTAACATTATTTTCTACACATGCTCTACCAAAAACTTCAAGCTATTTAACAGGTCTTCATCACTATTTCTATGAAAGAC